GGATAACTTATGTGCCGAGCTCACTTCTTGAAATTTTTTCCTTCAAAATTCAAAAAAATTATGTACTTAATATAACAACAATATCCTCATTGTTCTGATATATTAGGTTGGCACGAAAGTTCTGTCGCACCATTTTTAAAAATCCATAACTTCTAATTTTTCCAACCGATTTGATTGCTTTTATTTTTGTATAAAAGAGTAAGCCATCCTCTTTATAATGTCATCTTAGCTGCTTTCTATATCATTTGTTGCATAGATAGAAGCGATAGAAAATTAGTCAAAATTCGCATTTTCTGTGTAGGGTCATAAAAAATCGGGAACTTGCAACAAAAATCGGAGCAGTCTGTATTGTAGGTTCTTTCACCAGCTCTTTCTAACAGTGAAACGTTTGCGCCGATTGGGCGCCTCTATGTAAAGTTATGAATTCCCTGAAAATGCCAAAATAAATCAAAATCGCCCTTTCGTAATATTTGCTCGAAAATCGTAACTTTTCATAGAGACGCTCAATCGGCGCAAACTTTGCACTGTTAGAAAGAGCTGGTGAAAGAACCTACAATACCGACTGCTCCGATTTTTGTTGCAAGTTTCTGAATTTTTATGATCCTACACAGAAAATTCGAATTTTGACCAATTTTCTTTTATCGCTCCTATCTATGCAACAAATGATCTCTAGCAAGAGCTAAGATGTCATTATAAAGAGCATAACTTACTATTCCATACAAAAATAGAAGCAGTCAAATCGGTTGGAAAAATCAGAAGTTATGAATTTTTGAAAATGGTGCGACAGAACTTTCGTGCCAGCCTAATATCTACGTTTTTTCGACCAAAGAAGTCGTTATTAGCCTTGAGATCTACATGGCGAAGACAAAACAAGTCGTTAGCATGAAATCGTGGAGGGAAGCACTTTAATAATGAGAAAAAAACACTTCATTTGGATGGCTCTCTGTCAGATGAATTGGTGATTAATCTCACACACAATTTTTTCGTTCGCAAAAATTAAGCAACTGACGCACTGCCTATTGATATTACATTTTCATCCATTATTTGTGATAGATGGCTTCCTCCAAGTGCTGCAGCAGAGTGCTCTGTAAAAATACGCTCATTTTTCTTCGATTCATATAAAGCAGACGTAAAGCCTCCAACATGGGGCATCAGTAACCTCAAATGCATAGTAAAGTTTAATCCCCTGCTGACGCAAGCACGAAGAGTTCTAAGAAGACTGTGAATCTCTAAGACGCCTAATTGATGCTTCGAGCGAAGCTTAGAAAAAGAAGGGTTGCAAAAGTACATTCAGAATATTGTTATATTCACTGATTCTTGCAGAATTTTATACCCATCGAAAATAAGACTATCACTGGACAGTTTTGTTTCCATGTTACATGTACGACATCTGCGAATGTCGTCCTGTATTTTCTGCAAACGGAGGGGGGGGGGGTTGTGTTAGTAGTTTCCTTGTTTTTATACATCTTCTTCCGAGACCTTAAGCATGTTCCAGAAAAGAAAAAAAATGCGGATGTTCTTTGCTTCCATAATTCTTATATGTTCCTCACGGTTTTCGTATAACTCGAGAAGAAAGGAAAAAGGAGAAACTACGTCAAACCCGCAACATATTGATCCCTCTATAGGCAGGTAATGAGGAATTGTGGGTTGCCAAATGGACGGATAAGCATATAAGTATTCTATGTTTAAGCTGATAAGCGTAGAAGGATTTTGTGGAAAAAATGTTGCAAAAAATCTTTTCCAACTTTATCAATGCAGGCTCACACATCTTGCAGCTAAATGGTTTAGCAGCCATAATTAGGCAGTGAGGGCTTCTGCAGCTAATAGCCTATTTCATTTACTATAAATCGTCCTTTTTCCTTTATCAAATTATGCAATTAGGCGGCAGTGAGATGAAAGGTTTGGGCAACAATTAGCGAGGTTTCCATTTTACTGAATTTTGTGAAATTCAGCAGTAACCAGCCACACTTGGTGTTATGCTGATTTTTGCTATTCTACTAAGCTGAAGTGACAATCATGGCTCGTTTCCTTAATTTATACTGAAGAAACTGTTATCTGATATCGTTTTTCACAATGGCCCAGCTTCAAATATAGGCACTGCTCCCCTCCTTCCCCCCCCCTCCACACCCACAATAAGACCTATACGTTTTTTTATACTTTGACGAAACTTCGCCGGTGAGCAGAAAGGGTCCACAAAATTGCCCATGTTTGGAGGCATAGTGGCCTAACTAATGGAGGAAAGTGCTTGCATCACTATGGAGTGGATATTTGATAGTAGAAGAGCTCTATGTCTCCCATTGAGACTGGTTACAAGATACGGCAGCCGTAGAGGTCTCGAAGTTGTTGAAGCAAGATAGGAGAAATCAAAACCACACCTATGCCTATGCCTGCCTGCCTATGCTTATGCCTTACTTGCCTTAAATCAAGTATAAAATGTTAAATAGAAAAAATGCATATGAAGGCAAATCCAAAGCGACACCTTTGCCTCGCAGTTTTTGAAGCTCTCGGAAAACTCGGTTCTTTCTGTTGGTCTCTGAATTTTCTAGTTTCTACCATCTTTATCCGGGAAAACGATCGATTTGCTGAGAATTGAGGCACCGCAAAGTGTAAAATTGCAGAAAAGTCATTATAGCTGCATCAACATAATAGCTGCAAAGGTGTTCCTTTTAAGCAGTTGCATATGAGCACCATTAATCGCAGAATTGCTTGGTTTGAGGTAGATATAAAGTCAAAATGACATATGATCACTAGATTTGTGTGCAGAATTATAGTACTAGGCTGATTCAAAAGTTCTGTCCGATTTTCAATTGCCTTGTTTTAACGCAGCTATCTTCTTTTGCACTTATGGCACTGTCATAACCATCATCTAGAAGTACTTTTCTTGCTCTTTCTAGTGCTTACTGACGCTTGGCGAATCAACTTTCCCATGATGAAATTTTGAGCCCAGAAGCAAAGTTGCCAAAATGCAGTCGAGAAAAAAGTTTCCATGAAGGGGAACTTCCGTAGTATTCGCAAAACTAAATATATGATAATTTATAATGGTTGACGCATGGGCTAACATAAGCACACTTTTCCTCCGGCGTAGAGAATGTCTTACTTTTCCATTTTTTTCAAAGATGGAAGACAAACCCAGTTTTCAATGAGCGACAACAATTACGTATAGTGACAGGTGATGCATTCAATACTGCATATGTTAGAGTAAACGAGTGCAAGCAGGAACCGTCAGCCAATTGGCTTTTTTTCATCTGCGACAGCAAGAAAAAATCAAATATTAGGATCGGCATATTTTCGCACGCGGAGGAGGGCTCAAATAATGGGTTTTTTGATTTGCCCGCAAATATTTCTATGCATCGAAAATAGCTCGAATTCTCTTTAACCAAAAAAAACTTCTGAAGTATGTTACTCAATGGTGCCAGCCAAATATGTCTGTTCATCCTCATATGGAAGCATTAGTAAGTCAAACTGGGCGGTTTTGAAGAAAACCTTGATTTTGAAAAATTCGCTCTTCTCTCTCGCTAGCCTCCCTTATATGGCAACAGTATTTGTGATAGCCACAAGCTCGTTTAATTCAACAAAATTTAGTTTGTTCAAAATTGTTAATTTTGAAAAAAGTTATAAGATTTCAAATGAAAAAAATCGCAAATCGGGCAAAACTTTTGCATCAGCCTAGTACCATTAAGTAATGGTCGATATACTGAATTGCGTGACGGTGATTTTAGCTATCAGTACTGGACACGTTGTAAATCCACTTAACATCACCGCATGTTGGCTTGTTTTCGAGTGTCCAAATCTGCTGTTTTGTGTTAAGTCACGTATTATTTCCACTCCCAGCTCCCATCTTCAATTGACCATAGAAAAATTGAAAGATTTGAAAAAGCTCGTACTGAATCCTAAACAATTAATCCACTTCCTTTTCTCAATCAAATACCCCAATTTCACGCGTACAAGGCGCACTTTTTTCGATTTTTCGACTAATCCCCCCAGCCGCTTTAAATTATTTCGGAAAGCGATCCTTATGCCTTACGATTCTCTTGAGCAATATGCAGCAAGGCATAGGGTCCTTTGGTTGTGAAGTTTGGCGTATTTGGGCTGGTCGATTTTGGAAAAAAATCCCGCGCCTTGTACGCGCGAAATTACGGTAATTCCTACTGCTTTTCTCAATTCTCAAAAACTTGCGCAGCTATAGCTTCAAAGTTCCAAGTATCTGCAGCACTTAGAAACTGTAACCCTATTCCAAACTTGATCCAAACACATAAGATAACGTGATTTATGAGGCAGGTTCATTTGTTTCCAGCACTGTATCGGAGATCATGCAGAATTGCAAAACGCTTTGAATTGTGCGGAGAAGATGACATTGCGGGAAGATTTTCACAGTCTTTTAACTACTTTCTAAGCTCATAGCAACATCGACCGTGTGATGTCCTTTGATAGGTCTTTTTATACGAGAGTGATCATCATTTCGTTGTTTGTGCGGCTGCTCGAATGTACGTTTGGTGAAAGAACACAATTTTGTTTGCAGCTAGTCATGTGATTCGAGAATGGTAACATTGTTTGATATTGGAATGAACTCTGGCAGAACGTGTCGCATTATCGCGATTTTTTGTCCCCATTTTCTTTACACTTGTACTGCCTCTGAAGTGCATAATCAAGTTGTTTCACTGAGGGATCAATTCTCTAAACCTATGCGATACGTCTCTTCTAAAACACACGTCTCTCATGCAGTCAAATACTTGTAAAATAGCTGTAAAGAAATTTTGAAACGACCTTGGTTTTTTTATACGTTTGTAGTATTTCTTCTAAAACACATGTCTCTCATGCAGTGTAATACTTGTAAAATAGCTGTAAAGAAATTATGAAACGACCTTGGTTTTTTTATACGTTTGTAGTAGAGGCAAACGTCTTCCTTGTGGAAAATTGTTGTTGGATAAATTATACTGGAGGTTCCTTATTTGCTGCACAGATCTTCCACACAGATAAACGCTTAATTTTTTATTATTCAGACTCACTAGTCGACTGACCATTAACCCGACTATTCGTTGGACCCCTGCTAGCAAAATTAACCATGATACGCCTGAAGGACGGCTGGAATTCTATAATCAGGTGGGTATTTCTAGCGTTTTTTAGGTAGATGTATGTACACATGTTTCACTTTGTAGTCGAACAAATATGTGGTTGTTATAATATATAATATATATATATATGTATTAGCTGACATACCCGTCTCGATGCTTGGACTAAGAACAAATGCTTGACTGGTTTTCGAAATTGCGACAAAAGAGAAATGTTAAAGCAATTTCTTTGTGCTCTATGGGCATTAGTCAATGATGTAAAACATTTTATTGCAAACCTTAAATTCTGAGTCATTTGCTAAATATGATGGAAAGCTAGATGATAGCGGTAGCATTTTGTTGTGGAAAGTTTTATGGAAAAGAGCGGAATATTTTTGGCATAAATCTTATTCCGTTTATCCTTCCAGACGAGAGAAGAGCAAAAATATGGACTTTTTCGGAAATCCGTAGCCGGTGCTTGACCGTGGAAACTCGAAAAAAAATTAGCTTCTACCATTTTTTCCCGTCGAAATGTAAGGTGTTCATCATAGTTGAGTAATCACCCTAATTTCGCGCGTACAAGACGCACTTTTTTCGAATTTTCAAGCGAGCCGCTCACCCGCTTCACTGTATTCCGGAAAGAAATCCTTACATCGCACGATTCTCTCAAGCAATATACAGCACGTTATAGGGCTTTGGTTGTAAAGTCCTTTGGCGTCTGGGCTGGTCAATTTTGGAAAAAATTCCACCTCCACTTATACGCGTGAAATTAGGGCACATTAAACTTTCGCAAGCTCTGTGAGACGGCGTAGAAAACAAAATTGTCAATTGTTGCCAGCAAAATATTTGCGACATTATAGACTTTCTTGTTTCCACACCTCCTACAAACTTATTTTAGAGAAATTGCAGTTGAATTGTAATTTGAATTACTGGTTTAAACTAACTAAAAACTGAAGTAGATGGTCCAGGCTCGCGCTCGCGTACACTAATCGCACACATGTTGATGAGACTCGACATTCAATTTTTAGAACTTTAACCTTTGTTTGGAGGGGTATAAATGCTTCTTCTATCTGAGCATCCATGACTCATTGTGATAAGACTAGATACAAAACAAATTTGGATAAAAGGACCAAATCTTGGGTGCAAAGTGGTAGCTGACTGCTTTTGACGATAAGAGTTTACCAATAACTTGTAACTTTGGAGTAAGCTTTATTGAGTCTTTATTAAGCATTTATTATTAACCACAGCCAATTTAAAAATGCGAGCTCTTTCAGGTATGCCACAAGCTGCTCAAAAAATCGAAGCCAACCTGGAGGTGAGGACAGTTCGCATTTGCGTACCTCAACCAACCACCTCAACTCACTCAAATTCTTGTGATTTACCCCGGTGCAGTCCGCACACGATAGGTGTTGCTGTACCGTACCCAATGTGTACATAGTCCGTGTACTACGGTTGCGCTGTAAATAGTTTCGAAGGTCTCGTCGCTGGTATTTCATGAGCCATCCACCTAGGATCACTCGTCATTGTTTTATTTTGTCTGAATGGCTTCTTATTTATTGAAGTATACCATGGAGCCTTTGTTTTATATGTTGGAACTGCATATTTCTGCCGTTTCTGGAAAGTTCAAACAAATTCTTTGGAATAAAGAATTGAAGCAGCGTTGTTATATTTTAGAGGATTGGAATGCGAACAGTGCGAGAATGTTCTTGAATTTTTTTTCGATTTATCTGAAGCATAGAGAGTTTATAGCAGGAATTCTTTGTAGTACACATTCGACCGTCCAACCGTGAATAGAACGCACAATTTTTATGCTTCAGAAAACTGACTTTTGGGGACCTTCTGCAAAAACTCCACATTTTTGTACTTATTCGAAAGATTTAACTGATGGAAATATGTGAAGCCATAAATGAAGGGTACCTTCCATAACAGCTTATATTCTTGAGTGCCCGTTTGCAATCCGATAACTTCCTTAAATAAGGAGCTTTTTGCTGTTATAGACCCAAACTTTAGGGTGCCTTCATACCGCGCCGGCAGCCGCCGCTAGCGGCCCGTAGCAGCCGCCAGCAGCCCGTAGCAGCCGCTGGCCGCTTTTGTTATAGAAGCCAAAAACAGGATCTTACTACTTTGAGTGCTGCTGCCTACGCTTTCCATCTTCCATGATTTTTCCTCTGTTGCAGCCTGTGTGTAGTTCGATCTCACGTATTACATTTGTGTTCATCGTCTGCCGCATATTGCATCCTATTTATTTTATACCAGTAGGAACCTCCGCGAAGCGGAGGTGACGCACTGGTTTCCATGTAAGATCGGTAATTTTGAGAAAAAAAACTTTGTTGCAAGGAAACAAATGCGAATTTGAACCAATTACTGGCTTTATTTTAGTTTGATAATTGTCATAAGAATAATAGACACCTTGGGCTACATTTCAGTGCAAAAATCTTTTCAGTTATTTCAAATAAAACCTTGCCAAATCGACTATCTATGCGTTCATCACTTTTTGGCGCTGTTTTCGCAAAAAAGCAAACTTTTTGAGCACTTTTTGGGCTAGAATTCATGGCGCGCAGAGTTTGTCAGACAAATCATAACTTTGCAAAAAGTCGAATTAGCGGCCCAGTTTTGCATGCCAAAAGGCGCGTGGACCCGTTCGACGCGCAAATTTTGAGGGACCCGCTTATCGAACAGGCTCGTCCTTATGCATGGTGGGCCTACACGCTGGCATATGCTATGCAAAATTGCAGCCCGATGGCTTAGTTGCAGCTTCCTCTATGAATTTCGTGACAGACAGATTTTCACACAGACAGACACACACAAAAAAACAGACGGCCTTAGCCTTATTATAGTAGGATTATTTTATTCAATACGCTCATGGGCGTTCCATTACAAACAAACAAAAAAACACACATATACAGTTATTTATAAACTAACCACAAATAGATCATCATATAATCCAGGTCTAACCTTTTGAACTAAATTGGTAGATGTAATAGTTCTGCTTGTTGTGACTTCTAAAGGATTACAAATTCAGTGTTACTGTGATCATGGAGATGTACTCATGCCCCCTTTGTATGCCAGCACAACGATCTTAGGATATTCCATAAAGTAAACGACATCTCGATAGTGGATGTACTGTCACCAAGCCAGCACCAGGAAAAGTCTAAACTATCTGTGCCCACGTTTCAATTTGCATTCTGTCTTGTCTGAAAAGATTGTGAACCGTTGTCAAAGTCAGAAGAACCCACCCCGCGAATCAACTCGGCAAACTTGCGAAATAGTAGAATGCAATTCAGATATGCATCGATAACCAAGAAGAAGATTGAAGCAATAGCATACTCAAAAAGTGAACAAATCGCACACCTGCAGAAACTGCACGCATTCAAAGTCAGAGGAAATCACCCCGGAAAGAAACTTCTGCGTGAGGTCGAATATCTTCTGGCAGCAACTGAGGAGAAAGCATCGAAGGTGAAAAGCGTAGCAAGAGCACTCAAAGTAGTATTCTGATAATTTTGTGCTTCTATATTCATAGTGGTCAGCGGCGGCTACGGGCGGCTGGCGGCGACTCGGCGCGGTGTGGAGGCACCCTCAGACAAGCAGAATAAGAACAAGTGCACGCAAGTCTAAGCACATTTGAATTGTAGTCCCATTTTATGTGACTCTTGCAGACAAGTCTAGAGTTTGACTTTGCTCTTTTCCACACTAAATCGATAGTGGCTTGCACAATAAGTGTACTTGCTTTTACCCCCCCCCCCCACTCGATAGTGAAAGCAGTGTAGTGAAAACGAGCATCCTCACTGGGCAACTGAAGTGTCGTCATTTCTTTGAGCGAAGTAAATACAAACGTTGATAACATCCCTTCGATATAGTGCCTCTTCACCATTTTGCATGCAGCCTATTGCCTATGATTGGCACGACGAATTAGCCAACGCTTGCAAAACTGCTGTTTGTAGCTTCTGAATGCTTCAAGCGTAAAATTTGCTTTGCTAAATTACATCGCGTTACACGAATTCTTTCTTTGCTGGATGAGGGCTTCAAGCAAAGAAAGTGCGTGGAAATTTACCTCCAAATGTATGATGAAATCATGTGAATTTATGTTAAAAATCAGAAGAAGTTCTGAATTTTTGGCATATAGGGGTGGCCTGCATTTCTGCCCCATTAGATCGTTCCGAAAGTTCTTTTCCATTTTTCGACTTACTTTGGAAAAAAACTATGCTCAACTCATTTTCTAAAAATTTTTACCTTATTCTAGAAGAGTTGTGAGAACAGGTGGATCGAGTAAATAAAGTGCAATACTATAGATTTTCGTGCATTTGGAAACAGCTTTCCAGTGTTTTCTAAAAAGATTTTCCAAAAGTATCTAGCTTCGCAACTCGTGCTTACGAGCTCAACAGACACTGCTCCAAGTTTAAAAATCAACGGCCATTGACTTACCATTGGTTTTACAAAGCAAATGAGTTTTTACCGCTTCGGAAACAAATTCGAAATTTTTGGACAGCGATTGGCACGTTCAAAAACTCATTATAGGGGAGAAAAAGCATGTCGAAAAGAGGAGAAAAAATTACATCGTATAGCACCTGCGTTGCTTGTCGCTATAAAATGGCTTGACCGAGTATGATATAAATAACAACTGGAAACGCCTTCAAAATTTTGAAAACCAGATAGAGCAAAGGAGTATTGTGTCGCACCCTTTTGCTCTATCTATCGCTTATCAAAACTCCACCAGAGGAAACGAATGACTTGAATAATTCGAGTTTAAGCAAGATAAAATCTGAAGTTTCGAAATTATAACGAATACTAGCTGGCATACTCGGCTCCGTCCGGCCCTGTCAAAACATTATGTTGAAGGTCACATCCCTATTCCTGCACAACCTTTCCCTGTACCTCTCTACATGCCAATCTCCTATTCCGGTCTTGTTTTCGTAATCAGCATACTCACTTTCCCGCAGAGCTAATCCCCGTAACTGAAACTTCGCAAAAAATCGATAAGATTGATAAATGCAATAGATAATTCTAAACTACCATTGTATTTGTAATCAGTGTGCCCACATGCCGCTCTGCCAACTCGCCCCGTAACTTTAACTCTGCAAAACATAAAATCGATAAAAATAATAAATAATTTCAAAAAGTGCGACAGATGAATGATGGAAAATTCATCATTCGTGGTGAAAAGGTTCCATTACGAAACGTTGAGGCGTTGGCTTTGTTGTCCACCTCCATCGTCTGTCTTGTCGAATGCATGAGATCCTATCATCTCGACCAGCCAACCTACGACTACGACCATCACGTCAGAAGGCGGCGGCCCAGGAGTTCCCAAAGCCTCGCCGCCTTCCCTTGCAGGGATACTTAACACCCACAAGGCACCCTCGCACTTCTAGGACGGCTCCGCCCATTTGCTCCGCCCCCTGACTAATCTTATTACGTTTTGTGCAGTCTTGCGGGATAGTTCTCGAAAGTTCTGGATGAATAAGGAAGGATGGAAAGTGACAGACGAGAAATTACCAAGTAAATCATTCGAGACATGTTGCCTTTGCAACATAGGGACGAGAAATATTTCTAAGCGATCTTTTGACCATGAGGCGTTAGTGTGGGCACCGCTTTGTCGATAGTAAGGAAAATGATTTTTTTTAAATTTTCGGCCGAGATGAGTTCATTTATGCAAATCGAAGCACTACCTTGTAAAGTTTGCTTTGCTATTGAACAGAATCACAAGACCTATTTGGAATATTGGAAAATAACTTACTTTTAACCTGTCTTGGAGCAAGACTTATGTTACAACCGAAGAATTATTCTCAACGATTTACTCTCAAAATTTGAATGAGTGTTCAACACTGAAAGACCCTAAAATTGTGTTCATTTATGTTCGGGTGTTCATGATAGTAAATGATAAGAAAGATCCGCCTTTGGGAACTTGGTACTACTTTTGCAATTCGATTCATCACTAAACCTAAATTTTTGGCTTGTTCAAGAGGAAGTTGGTTTTGCTCCTCAGGATAGTTATCACCATGTTTTCGTTGGCTATCCTCACAGAAACAAGCTTTCATAGAATGCACTTCAAAGTTTGTAATTCTGGTTTTATTTGTAACTAACATCAAAAAGGACCCATAGTTATCCTCAAAAATCGACGTTCGTAGCAATGCTTCGTACGTTAACGTGACGAGCTTTAATCTATGGTAACGTAGAGACAAATACTTTGGAAAACATTCCCTTGCAGAAAAAATTACCTTCTTTGTACCAAACATATCACTCTATGCTTACTTTGAGTACTATAAGGCCTTTTCGGCGATGTCAAACTGCCTTTGCTAATAAAATGCAATAATAAGGGCATTTACCTTCCAAGGACGATTTTTTTACGAACTTTCACATTTGTATGTCTATGCTATTCCCGCTGCCCGCAGCTCCGAATGAGACTAGTAAAGGAGTGGAGCGATGGGCGGAGCTTGACCTCTGAACGTGCGAGGAGCCTTCTGTGGTGTGAATGCTGGTGTGAACGGAGGTGCTAGGAACTCCTGCGTCCCCTCCACGTCAGAAGGCTATCAGCATATCAACAGCTGCGCAGCAACTTCAGCAGCTCACGATTTAGAACCAGATGCTTTTACGAAGACCTGAAGGAGATCGACCGCAACGAGAAGCCCTTTTACAAGTTTGTTGTGGGCGACTTCAACGCGAAAATTTGGGATGCCTCGAGAAAAAAAAGGAATGTATTGAAAGGAATAAAGGATTAGGAGGTTTGGATATTGGCTCCGGAACAAAAACGGCAATCTCTCGTTGGGCTTCTCTCCGCCGCACGACTTTTTGGAACCCCCATCTTCATGATGAAACAACTTAGCCTGTGGACATGAGGAACGACTCACGCGCTTCCTTCAAGCGAAGGTCCGATTCAGTCGGAAGCTGGAAAATAAAGTCTGCCACAGTGCCGCAAGAAGGAAAAAACCGTTTATGATGTAACAGGCAGAAGAGCTTGTATCAAGTTTTGACTAACCGCAGAGGGGACTCAACTTGCGATTACGACTGGCATCTGAGATTTCGAGCCTGCGGAGAGTGCGCTACAGTGACTTCCGAGAAGAACTTGAAACACATCTCCAAGACTACTAAAAAATTGCTCAAGAAAAATTTTGAAGCAGGATCCGAATGCAACCCATCTCGAGCGATTGCTAGCCAATGCCAGTTGCAGAACAGCTTTGCAGGAGGATCTTAGACATTGATTTCGACGCTGTCAAAAGCTTTCTAGTACCCAACGAAAGTTAATGTGAGGGGTAGTTAGTATCACCGCCAAACTTTGTGACCTTCGGAACCGTCCGTATGTAGTCCATGCAACTTCTTCTTGGGGTTGAGCTTCATCCAGTGTCTTAGATATGCGAGCGAGGATAATCGTCGTGAAAAGCTTGTACCACACACTCAGTAGTGGATGGTGATATCGAAAATCCTCTTGTTCGCCCTTTTGAAGAGAAGGACAATTCTTAAACCACCGATCGGAAATCTTTTCCTTCTGAAGGCCCTCCGGTCCGCAAAAGTTCGACGGAAAGATGGTCTGTCCTGGAACCGCGGACGTCTTCATGGTTTGAATCGCGGTGCACAATTTAGCAGGTAGAATTAGTGGTGATAGTTCACTAGTGGGAACAACGGACATCGGTGCGGGTGTTTATGAGAGGAAGGTCAGTGTGAATCTTTGCGATAGATTCCATCTTATATCGGGAAGAAGTCGGGGTCCCGTCTTCGTTTATGCGGCCAGCGGTACGTGATAATCACAAGTGTCTTTGGCGCTTTACTTGCTGTCCCCAGTACTTTAGCTTGCCTGTTCTTCCTGAGATCCTCCTGCAGAGTTGTTTGCAATGCAGCTGGCGTTGGCTATCAGTCGCTCGTGATGGGTTGCATTCCGTGCTTCAGAAATCTTCTTCTTTCGAGCAATTCCTTGGTAATATTCGAAATACGTTCCAACTTCTTCTCAGAAGTCACTGAGGCGCACTCTCCGCAGGCTCGCAATCCTTTCAGAAGCCGGTCGTAGTCGACGTAGAGTCCTCATTGTTGGGCCAATCACAACTTGATAAAGCTCTTCCGCCTGTTACAGTCATACGACTTTCTTCCTTCTTGCGGCATTATGGCAGACTTTCTTTTCCAGCTTTCGACTAAGTCGGACATTCGCTTGAAAGAGGCGGTGATCGGAGCCAATGCAGCTTTCAATTGTGGGAGAGAAATTGCAGGTGAGCGTGGTTGGAGAGAGGGGGGTGGAATTAGAGGAAAAGCTTTACACTTTGGATTTTTTGTTAGCGTGTCGTTAAAAGACGGACCTAGATCGCAAATTTACTTGAAGGATATTCTTTTTTGTAATTAACAGTTAATCTTGCCAAGCCATCGCCTTCAAGAGCCTGACCACAACTGAATTTGGTTTTGGCGTATTTATACTAACCATTCTTTGAGGATGTTTGCTTGCTTAATTCTAAGTATCAGCTTGAGTCGCTTAAACAGAACACAGGTGAAATAATCAAACCTAAATCTAACACAGAAGTAAACACCTAAGATAAACATTTGTCTTGTATATGAGTTTATGGGCGTAACTTCCATTAACCTTTGTATAACGATTCAATCCAACGATTCAATCCATTGTAAAGTACAAATAAACATTACCAACATTCATAACAAATTATTTATGGTATATGCATCTACTTGATTTGAGTTCATTTGATTGACTTGGTGAACGATGGCTTCTCTATCCATGGACTCTTTGAATTACTCTAAAACAGGCAAAAATGAGTTCATAGTAGCTAATGCTAGCTCTGTTTCGCTCGTTTAAACTGAATTCTTATAAATTCGTTTAGCCATTTAGGCATTCAAACTTACGTGGAAACACTGGGACACACATAGCTACAGGAAGGCATGTGGCACCTGGGAAACACGGTGTTTGAATAAGCTTGCATTCCTTGCCCTCCGCGCAGACGATGCCATCGCAAGTACGAGCTATTTCAGCCACTGAATCCGTTACTTATAAGAAAGCTAGTATACTTGCAGTGTAAATGTAACTAATTTGAATGAATTAAGCAAACAGTTCAATGATATATTCACCCGAAAAATCAGGCCATATGATTTTATCGATTTATCATAACGTCAAGTTGTTACATCTTACCTTGCGTAATCATGGACAATAGTAATCCCCCGACCTGGCGGCAGGTCTGGCCGGCAAGTCGTCGGCACTCGGCCATGAGGTCGTCAGAAACTAACAAGGGAAGGATGCCGGGTCGCAGTGGCGAACCGAAATGATATGCATATCATTAGATGTGCCTTGAGCTCATTCCAAATCTACCTTTCCTATATGCTATGAGCTTCTCCAAAAGAAGCTATGGACGTTTACAGATATGAGATTGTTGAGATTTGGATGCATAATGCGCTTTAAAGACTAGCTTAGCAGTGATCAACTTGCATGGTTTTGAGTACATTGACTACAGGAAATGCATACATACACCGAACACGTGAGTGTAAGCGCCTTTGAACCTGTAGTTCTTGTAAATGTGGCACTAAATGTTTGCTAAATTTGGACACTCAAACGCCCATAGCTTCTTCTAGAGAAGCTCGTAGCAGATAAGAAAGGTAGATTAGGAATCAGCAAACCAAAACGCATCTAATGATTTGCATATTGTTTCGGTTCGCCACTGCGAACTGGTATCATTCCCTTGTAAGATCTCAAATCTAGGCCGTCTCGAGCTTTTTTCAGGAAATTCTCTGGATGAAGGTGGTACCGCAACTCCATAAGAACCTTCGTCGGATTTTGATTTCTACAAATCTCTCTATAGGTAAATAAATATCGGGAAAACAAGAGGAGCTGTGACAGCTGCCGACGACTCACCGGCATCTCGTCGAAATTTGCGAGGTGATAGCTGCGGGCAGGTTGAAGAGCACGGAAAATAGCGTGCTCTTTTGAGAAAGTGAGGTGCCGGCATTTCGATATGGTAGGGGCACGTCGAGGTGCTGGCACCTTACCGGCGGGCTGTGAGTTTGGGTACTGCGGCAGTAATACAGAATTTACGTCAAGCAAGAAAAATCAAAGAAAATTCTTTTCCATCAAAAAACTGTCATTTTTGTCGTCATACTAGTGAACCAGTAATCTAAAGGTGCTATTTGAAAGAGCGTTCGCTTCGGGATCGCCACGCGGTTTCCCGCTATTTGCACATTTTTGAATTGCGCTTGCGATTCTTTATATACTAGATGGGAATCTTTGTTCAAGTCTTCATATGGACTTTGTTCAAGTCAATGATTTATATGCAGAAAAAATGACTAGTGATATTATAAATACATAAAGAATGCCATCTTCTCTTTGCAAATCATCCCTTAATCTCGTTTGCAACGATTTCGTCCTTCCTTTGCTCATATCAATCAGGTGCTTTTTCAGGTCAACGTCTATCACGCAATGTATTGATCAAACTCTTTTACAGGCACCACTTGACTGTGCCTTTCTGTCATCGCCGCTGCAGGCAGTAGAAAATGACCGAGTGGTGAATGGTGTGAGCCGGCGCTTCAAGTTGATGCATGCAGGTACGAACATGCGTGTTGGCACTGTTCTGCGGCTATCTGCGTCATCAAATTTCATGTGTCTAGTGATTGCGGGACTAAGATTATATAAGTCACCAGAGCCTACGATCGATCAGCGAGCTGCCTTTGGAGTTTGCAACTTTCCCGTGTGTGCCAACTTGCCGGCATCTATGATGTCACCGAGTAGGGTAGACTACTACCGGCCCATATGTGTCAGGTATATAAAGTATTCATATATCTAAAAAGGAAGTGGAACAATATCTATTGATTCTATAGACCACGAGATACTGCTTCAACGATAATGATATAAAGTGAGCCAAAGCACCTGTAGGTGTCACTGAACTGAGAAGCACAAGTAGAAAGAAAAGTAAGGTCTGAAAAAAATTATTTGTTAAATTATGAGAACGGAAATAATTTTTGCAGCTCACCTTCGTATCCATCCGGCGCGTTGTAAGTTCTGCAGGGCCGACAATGAAAAGTCCAACCGGTTTCTCGTTTGCTAGAGTGACTAAGCCTGTTTGGCAATGAAATGTAAACAAGCATAAATTTTTCTTACATATTAGTGGTAAGCTTTTAGATTCACTTACTTCGAAGAGCAGCAGATAGTAAGCATTTACTGATTCAACTATATTGGCCTACGTGAAAGACAGTGCTGGACAGTATTTGATTTCAGCCTGAAATACGTACCAAGGCGTCCTCCAAGCTCGTTGATTTGAACAGTAAATAGAAAAATTTCCAGAAGTCTGTACTCAAAGCTAGGCACACTCGCTTCTTTTAATCACTACTGCACTCTTTGAACATTTTTTGTACAGCTGTGTCTCAAAGTATGTAACATTTGCTATCCTCAAAATCCGAGGATTTATTCGAAGAATTTTTACTGCATTCCTTGCTTTACATGCATTGAAAGTCAGTTTGCTTCAAAAACAGCCCATTGTTTATTCTAGATGGAAGTCTTGACACGTCCAGCCTTTTCGTTAGATGAGGTAAGCGAGGTTTGAATGAAGTTCGCTAAATCGTTAACATTGACAGACGAGCTTCGACAATATCAATGCAAGCATCATACTTTGGACCAAATTGAATGATTATTTGATTATTCATTTATTTATTCAAATTTCGCATTCGAATAAATCATTCGAATGCGAAATTTGAAATTGAATATCCGAGACTAATAATATTAGGTCGTCCCGAAAGTTTTGTCCGTTTCTTCCATCGCTCACTAAAACTCACAGAACACTGAACGACTTAGGTACCATTTACTTTAGAATTTCATCCTCTTTCTTACAGCTACATTTGCTCTCTGATCTACTTTGTCTTTGTAATGTTATCACCATGATTTTTTCGAGCAGGTCAGCAGTAACGTCAAATTTTTACTGAATTTTAACATTTTTCATTCTGATGTTTACAAAGAGCGCTGGTAACTGTTATGTAGAGCGAACCTTTGACTAAATTGTGCCCGTTTTAGATTATATGGGCCACGTTTACCAAGTCCGTTATAATTATTTATTTAGTAAAACCGCGGCTTTTCAATTACGGGCACCAGGAAAAAGTAGCGAAAACTCCAAAAGCAGCTTTTTTGAAACAAGTCAAACTTGATTATGTTGCGTAAGTAATGTTGAATAAGAATCATGTTTCAGTTCGCAAAAATTCAAAAGCTTTCGTGTATTTGCTGCAGTTGCCTATTATGACTTTGCCAAAAATCGAGACCTCCAAAGAAATAATTTTTTTCAAAAACAGCAGATTAGGAGAACCTGAAAAATTGGCTTTAGGAGTATTGCTCTATTTGATCCATAGTTCATCCTGAAACTTTGGAATGAAGGTTTCAAAGATTAGCCTAACTTTGAGCAGAGAAAATTGACGGGTGGACTTTTGGCAATTTTTGAAAGAAAGCATACAAGATCGTGCTTGAGCTAGCTTATCTAGCTTATCTTGAGAGGCCATCGCTTTAGCCACTACACCACACGTCCCAGTCAAATCAGGCATTGCCAACCCCTATATCGCATACTACGTAGTGTATAAAGTTGGTCCCGTAAACTAGTAGGGTCATCTAATAACTTCAAAAGTAGTGTTAAGTAATGATTTATTAATACTCAACTTCAATAGCTTGCATATTTGTCATGGTTTCGCCTAATAAACCTCGTACACCGACTAGGTCAAAATTTTTGGCGGGAGTTGAGTGGATAAAAGTGTGTATTATAAAAGGCGTATGAAATCTCATTTTCATATTGAAATGTCTAATTCGTTTGCTGCCATCCTTCGCACTATTTGTCAGCCTGCTACTGGCCTGAGCAGCGAATTGTCAACCGCGTTTATATCGCTAGGACCTGCCGTGGATCAAATGAAGGCAAAACAGGGGTCGATGTCAAAGGAAATCGAACAAGTGAGAAGGATGACACGAACCAACTGAATAATGGTAAGTGCAAATATTTTTTATATGTGTTAAAATCTTGCAATTTTAGATTGTCGATCTATCCTTCCCCTTTGGAGTGTCCAAGGGAAACGCCGTGCAGCAGCTATTCGAAAAATTGGCGTATGGAAAACCAATATTCGACTCCGACAGTGATATTTTAGCGACCGATATGATGTACGTGAACAAAACTTGTGGTACATGTAACTTATCAGTGAGTTAATTTCAAAATAATCAAGATTTCATTTTTGATAGTAAGTTTGAACCAAAATTTAACATTTCTATTTAGATTTTCCTACCTCAACGTCACTTTGACCATGTGATGTCAGCCGTTTTCCAGAAACAAATCATCACTTTGACAAGAAGATGCCTGTCGGTAAGCTCTAAATTACTTAGTTATTGATTTTTCCGATTAAAGTGAGTGTTGGCCTATATCTGCAGTTGCATACTACTTTATTTCAGATCAGAAGATAACCGCTGGTCGAGTGTTATACCTACTGAGAGATGTGACTATGAAACTTCCTCTGCTTGCAAAAGGCTAGTAATCAAGAAAATGCTCGAAAAGAAGAAAGCAAATTCGACTTCTCCTGTTCGTCTTGGTCGACAAAAGAAAACTTTGTTTACGTATTGATAAGGAGGTGAGTTCGAGTATTAGTATTATAAATCTTAGATTTGTCTTACTTTCAGTATATCACTGTGGGAGATGCGTCTGTCCGTTTCGGCATTAGTCTCGATGAGATAGAGGAGGAAAAGAGGAAACACTCGTCTACCGCGAAGGCGCGACCCGACAGGGGCGCAAACAAGAGACCCGCCGGGGCAGCTGGGTCCTGATTCTAAAGCCGCGAAACTTATTCCTTTGAACCGAGAAAGTAATTAAGGCAATTCTATTGTTCGAGCTATTTTTTGAGCTACTTGACTTTCGGTTGTTGAGCTTTTGACTTTTGTATTTGATGAACGCTTCAAACTTTTGGAGTGTTATCTGCTTTCTGAGCATCTGAGGTTACTGGAATGTTCGAGATTTTTCGAAAGTTTTTCAAACTTTTGGATTTTTTAATAAATTGTTGATCATATAGGTTCTCCACATGCATACCGCACGTAAATACTGGTTCAATATGGGAGTGGGGTTCACCTCACGTCACCATATTTCCCCAGTCTATTACATAAATGATAAGTGATTCAAATCAGACAAAACTTTACAACTTTATAAAGCTGGATGTATGTCTGGATGTATGTCTGCACATATGTTCCGAATAGGATTTACCTATCTCTGGACCAATTCGGATCAAACTTGGCACACATACACTTCGGGGCCGGGCGGGTGTCATAGGCTACTTTTCGTCATTGATCGTCTATTAATTGTATCAATTTTATTGATTTTTCGCTAAGTCAGAGATGCGGGGCTCTAAGGGAATTGGGTACAAGAGAGTTAGCATGATTACGAAAATATTATTGACAGGGCTGGGCGGAGCCGGGTTTGCCAGCTAGTATCATATAAAAATCTATAATAGATTGGCCTCAAAGGTTTACTGAAAGTTTCTTACTACTCCTAAGACTCTGATTTTGCACGAAAGTATTGGTTTTCCATATACACCATACTATTCAGCTGATATATGCTTTTTTTCGAGCTCCGCTCCAGATTCCCTTTTTGCTGTTCACCCAAATGATATCCAGCTGCTTCTTAAGCCACCTGTCGAGCCTTGGTGATATTGTTGTTAGTTTTGCACCACGAATAAAAAATCATACAGAAATATGGGTTTTCGAAAATAAGTTGGGGAGCCATGGTCTGTAAAAGCTGTGTATCTCTACACTCCCAAAGTCCGCTTAGGAGCAATAAGTGTGAGGATAAGTATGCAGATTGATGTCAAAGAACGATAGTAGCTTAAACACTTTATGATATTCGCTATCAGCAAGTACATATTATATAGATTTTCTGGCTGTTCTCTTAACAAGCATTCAAATTACCCAAACGTTCCGATTACCTCTATATTGCATAAAGTCTGCTCTCGGCGGAAATTCAGGTCTTAATTGAAAAGGTAGATTGTAGCAGTGGTTTCACATATCCATTTCTCGAGGCTGCGTACAACTTTATCTGCAGCTTCGGTATGTTTTATACAAATAATTTGATAAATTTTTCAGTACCCCACAACGAAGCTATTGAAGTTCAATTTTTAATTTTCAATCAAAATCATGATCTGCAATTTGGTCACAAAAATATTAGGCTGTACCGTGAGTCTTTACATTTTTAAGTTTTCGCTGTAATAAGTTATACACTTCTTATTCTAAATAAACATCAGGATGACATTCGATGGGGCATAGCAAGCTATGTAAGATGGCGTTTATGTTTTTGCATCAGCTTCGATCCACCTCAACTTTATAACCAAAATTTACAAAGTCTCAGATGCGCAGAAAATTGAAAAGTTTTTATATTTTCGTTCAAAAACGTTTCACAAATCTCTCACTCGCTTACGCATATACAATGCACATCAGGAACTCATATGTGCTGTATTCTTGCTGTATTTTTTTTATTAGCTAGAAATCAAGAAAACGAAAATTTCCGTGTTTTTGTCAAAGTGAGCTGTGCTTTCTTATACCAACAGTTGTATACTACATGCCCATAATTGTACAACCGTAAATTCTTAGCTGATTATAAGCTCTAGCTCCCGAGAAAAACCAAATTTAGCTTCACTTGGGTTTTTCACGCTTAACATTTCTCGGGAACCAGAGCTTGTAGAGAGCTTAGGATTTAAATTGTCTTCTCACGCGATTTCCTTCGCAGCGGGATCTGGCACTACAACGACTCTTCATAACTGATCGTAACCGCACTTTACTTAGGCAAAACTTTATGCTTTTACAACATCTCACAGAAGCTAAAGGCTGCTGCATGACGAAGGCGCAGAAGAGGAATTAGTCGAGCGGGCGCGAACGCGGCGCGCGCGTATCCTCACCGTTGTAAATCCTGCGCCTTATTGCGCTCTGCGCCTAATAAAGCCGCGATCGCGCCCGAAGGTATTGCGCCTTCGTCATGCAGCAGCCTTTGCGTGCCTATGCATTTGAGACCCGCGCAGTGAATCTGGCAAATCGCAAAGTCGTGTAATGTAGCGATTGACGGAATCGCGGCAAGTATGCCTTAGGCCTGAGGGGCTAAAAGTTCAAATCAATGACACTACCGCTGTCGTGGTTCCGAAAAGGAACGAAGAAAGGCAGGAAAGGACTTCAGAGAAAGTCAAGATTTGAAGGATAAAATCCTGTAAAAATTCTATTTTCAGGCTTATTGCTGTGATAGCAAAGCAGGAGAGGATTTGCAACCTGTATATTTCTTAATCAACTCAAAGAAAAGTCCTACAGATGCTGAAAATTTGTATAGAAAATTTCTGCCTATTTGTGGCATAGAAACACAAAAAAATGACAATCAAGACCCGTATGCAAAACATCCCCGTTGGGGAGGGAATCTGAGAGGGGACGCATCATATCTCGCTATCCATCTCTATCCTTTTTTTCTATCTATATTATGACGGTCTCAAACCCTTTAACTTGAGTATAATAATAAAAAGAACATTGCTATATAAGATGAGATTTTTACTGTGCCATGCGATCGTCTGGGGATCCCCAGGGGATCACCTCGCATTTTTAAAATCATTATCTTCTTATAAACTCGATGAAAATGCAAAATTGTGCCGAGTATATATTATTGCACTGCTAAACATGTTTGAGGTACAAACTAGCGAAATCGCAGGATATCAAAATTTTCAATGAGCCGTTGTTCGCAGGCTGAGGTTCGTCGAAGATTTTGATATTCTAAGATCTTGCTAATTTCTACCTTAAACATGCTTAGCAGGCAGTGCCATGTTATATCCTCGGCACAATTTTACATCATTTCCATAGTGTCTATAGAAAGATAAATGACATTGGAAACAAGCGGGGAATGAAACAGTGGAAATCTCAGTTTGTATAGCAGTGTTCTGTTTATCCTTCTTATATAAAGCTGAATGCCTGTTTGTATGTCTGTCTGTATGTCTGTGTGTACGTATGTTCCGAATAGAAAATTTCATTTCTGAACCGATCCGGACCAAACTTTGCACATACACTTCGGGGCCGGGCGGATGTCATAGGCTACTTTTCGTCATCGATCGATATCGATTTTATTGATTTTTCAAAAAGTTCAAGCTACGGGACTGGGAGTTGGCACAGAAGGGTAAGTAAGCATGCTGATTACGAATATATTATTGACAGAGCCGGGCAGAGCCGGGTTTGCCAGCTAGTCATTCTATAATACTTAAGTAACAGGGCATGAGGCCTTTTATAGCATAGGTGGAAAAAGAGGGATAAAGACACCTGTAGTAGCAAGGTAAGACGTATCCCCTCTCACATCCCTCCCCTCCACAGCGGGGATGTACGGACCCAAAAAAACAGAAAGAAACTATGATAGCTGTTCTTCTGTAATGCGTAATCATTTTATCCTTTTCTACTCGAGCTAAAAATGGTTTGAAAAAGATATCGACAAAGTTTCTTATAGCAATGTTCTCGTGGAAATATCATGAAGGAAAAGTCTTGAGCGAGGAATCACGGGCTTAGCTAATATTCCTAATAGGTTTTTTGTTTGAAGTCAAGTACTTTTTCCAAACACTGGAGTCCCGGGTAGCTAAAGTAGGCTATTAGGTTGATGCAAAAATAATGGCCGAATTTCCAAGCCTTTTTTCAGGGCACTTTTTCCCATCAGAATATCTTCGTTGAAATACATTTGGCATACCACCGAGAAGCTGTGTTCATGCTCCATGTAATGGTTGTTGAAGCAGGCTTCCATCCTCATTCTATAAAGTTACTGAACTTCAAATAACCGCACCTAGATTCAGAATTTCATTGCATTCACTTTTCTGACTAAATTCAAGAGCGCATGAACGGCGCTTTGCGGAGATTTAGCTACTGTATGTAATAGAAATTGTCTACATCATGCATAGTTGAATGTATTTTCTGAAGTCAATAAGACAGATATTGGCGCACTCAATATGGGTAGCCATTGCACTCATTATAGCCCATAAATTCTTTTAAGAAGTCAATCGCCGAAGCTTTGTTCAATTCTGTAAGCGTAATGCTAGTGATTCTTGTAACTGTTTTTGCAAAAACATCCGACAGCTGTTCAGTACGCAGAAAATCGGAAA